GAGGTGGTTCTACTCGGAACGGAATAGTGGGTAGCCCCTCGGAGGGGATCGTGAAGTAACGAGTGGGTTTCGAGAAGATGGGCCATTTGTAAAAGATTTTCCCCTTGTAATCACGATGAGAGAACTTGATGTCTTTTGAATTGCTCAGATGTGTTATGTCAAAAAGACATAATTCGGCTATTGGTGCATTGTCTATGTAACCGAATTTTGTAGCTGTGTGGAGAATAACGCCCCATATCCAAATTTTTCCTTGGGCGGTGCATTCTTTTTACAGATGTTCCCACATACGGTTCACAATGTTGTAGTGGAAGGGAGGTATGTCAAACAATGCATTAGCAAGAATACATATATCACCTGTTTGTGCTTGGTGATTGTTGGGGCGTCCAAACACAAAGCTAACCAAGTATTTCAAGAAAATGCGTAGCACTGGGTGTTGGACATGGGTTATAACAAGATTTTTGGAGCTAAAGGTCATTTCCCCCGTCATTTTTTTCCACAATTCAAAGCCATACCCGGTGTCGGGCTCTTGGGCGTTTTGTGGTGGCACGGGCAAGCCAAAGTGCTCCGCAAACTCACGTTTTGTTATGGAAGGTGTTTTATTGAATAAACGAAACGTGAGTTTATCCTCCATATCATCGTTATCATCTTTGATTCTCTCAACGGAACCCAAGAATTCATACACAAGTTCATCATTTGGGTTATATTTCAACCCAAAAATTGTGCCCATTCCCAACAATTCACCTAATTGAAGCATCATAGCAAGAATTCCTAGCTCATCCAAAGTATTCATACACAAAAAACGGGAATGATGTACCTCTCTTTTAGTTTGGGCCAAGACTTTTGCCCGGTGAGTGGATGAGGTGATGATGATATTTTCAAAGCAAGGAACCGGTGCTCTTGAAGAAGAACTTTCTCCTCTTGTCCTCTTTGGTGCCATTTTTGCTAGAAAAATTGGATTTTGAGCTCCAAATTTCGGACTTTTACGTGGTGGGGTTGGGTTTTTCGGACTTTACGAAATTTGGGGAGAATGTGGTGTTGATGGGTATGGGTGTGTAGAGGGAGATGTGTGGAAGATTTTGGTGGTGGTTTGGAGGGATTTGGTGGAGAATTCAGGGAGTAATTTGAGATAGAAAAGCTGGCTATGGAGGTTTGAGGAGGGTTTGGTCGGATTTGGGGAAGAGATTTGGGAAGAAGAAGGTCGTTCGTGAATTAAAATGCTGAGTAATCCCGCTTACCCGACCGGGTAAGTGTGTATACCCGATCGGGTACACGAGGCAGTGAGCTCCGGACTTTCACGTTTTAAGCATACCCGGTCGGGTAAGTGGCTATACCCGATCGGGTATCTTCCTTTTCTTTGATTTCTGGGATTTTCATACCCGATCGAGTACACGAGGCAGTGAGCTCCGGAATTTCACGTTTTAAGAATACCCGGTCGGGTAAGTGGCTATACCCGATCAGGTATCTTCATTTTCTTCGATTTCTGGGATTTTCATACCCGATCGACTTCTTCTCGCCGTAGTTTTTGAAATTTTATTTCCCTTATACCCGACCGGATATATACATGTGCCCGATCGGGTATTAAGCCGTGGTGCACAAAACTTTTTTTTACTGAAATGTGTAAAAATAAAATAAAACAAGTAAACGTACCTTGCATGGGGTGCCTCCCAAGAAGCGCCTCATTTAACGTCGCGGCACGACGCTATAATTGTTTTGAGTCATTCAAACTTGGATCATGATAGTTTATTTTCTTCACACTTTCACTCCTAGGACTTCCATAGGAGTGCTCAATTTCTCGACTCTCCACTTTGGAAATCTTTCCAGGATCAAATATCCAGATTTTCATTGATTCGTGTGGTGGGAGGAAGGGAAAGAAATTATCGTTTAGTATGGTCAATAAAAAGTTTTTCGACCCCTCAATTTTGAAGAATATTTCAGAAATGTCATTGTCCTTTTCAAGTTTATGAGTTTCCCTCAAAATTTTTAGAATTGATGGGGGTACCTCAAAAGATGAAAAGGATAGATATTTAACCTTGAAGCTTAGATTATCCTCTTCTTTGACCAGTTGGAGCTCCGTGTCTTTTTCTTCCTCTACTTCTTCTGGATTCTGGATCTCTTTTTGCATTTCCTCTTCATTTGTCAATGTGATTGCAAAAATTTGCTGTCTAGGATCACATTCTAGTTGAGAAGGAGATTTTTCTGAATCCCTTGCTTCAAGCCTACTCACGACTTCGGCTATTTGACTCATTTGAGTTTCCAAGTTCAAAATGCTAGACTTGGTCTCATTTTGGAATTGCACCATATTTTATTGCATGGCGGTCACACTGTTAGTAAGAGCCCGAACCATGATAAGAAATTCACACCATCAATTATCTACTCGGTAAATGATACGGAGTACTATGCAATAAACTTAGAGTAGCAATTGTAGTTATTATATTTTAGGAAAAATTGAAAATAATAATCTCAACTATTGCCGGTCCGCTAATAATAATCCCAACTATTGATTATTTTTGTATAATCCCAACTATATGAAACATCCGTCAATAGTGGACCATGACCGGTTACTACCTGCTATAATAGGTCAACTGTAATAGAAATTAGGCTTATTCTATAAATAATCTGAAATAAGCTCGCTCTTCTTTTAATAATCCCTAATCCCAAGTATCAATTCAATATGTTTTTTTTACAAAAAGTAGAAATAATTATTCAAATTTCAGATTTATAATTTTATAAATAAAAGTTTAACTGAATATTAAAGCGTGTTGCATTTTAGAAATAAAATATTTTACTTTTCATTTTTTATTATTATTCTCAGAACTTTTTTTTATAAATAGTCATTTTTGAATTCTTTTACAGTTCACGGTTTTTATTATTTTTTAACTACTTTAAAATGATTTAATATTTTGGAATGATTAGCTTTTTATTTTTTTATATTTTGATTATAATTATTAATATTTTTATCTTTTTCACTTTCTTAATTTTGAAAATCAAAGTTTTCATTTTTTAGTTTGAATTTGTAATTAATTTGAATTTCATTTATCCTTTAAAGTCTTTATATCGACCTTTTTACTATCCTTTAAAATATCTTACATGTTATGTAATTTTAATTTTAAATTTCATATAAGTTTTTCCATATTCTATAATTATATATTTTATATTCTTTAATTCTACAAGCTATCTAAAAAAGTTAATTAAGTAAAATTAAATTTTTATAATCTTTTTTACCCTTTCTATTTATTTATGGAAATTTTAATAATATTTTAATGGGTCCATCAGAAGTTGACAGATGATAGTTCGGATTATTATAATCTGATATTTCTTTTTTGATTGACTGAACACGTAACCGGTCACGTTGGACCATTATTGGTGGAAGGTCCTTAAAGATGGGATTGTTCTGAAATAATGGATAGTTGGGATAATTATGAGCGGACCGTCAATAGTTGAGATTGTTACTATCAATTTTTCCTATATTTTTTTGAAAATTATAACTTTAAAACTTTTATGAAAGTATTTTAAATAGGTCATATCAAGCTTAAATAGATTAAACTTCAACGTTTGTTAAATACACACAAAACAGACATGCATCTACTGGATCAGACAAACAACTCAGATAAGACCAGATTAGATAAGGCTTAAACAACGCAGACCAGATCAAATCAAACCAATAAATTGCAATCCAATTGAAGCATCCTAAATGTGGACAAAATTAAGGGTAGGTGATATTCATATATATGGTGAAATGCCGCCACATAATGTAAATGTGATATTCATATTCATATATATTGTACGGGTAGAAATTTATTCACAATAACACTCTCTAAAGCACTTTTTAATAAACATTATCTGATCGATGTACTTTAATTTCGAAAAATGCATCAGATAAGGTTTTTTCGAAAGTATTTACAATGCTGATATCGATGCACTTTTATTTCTATGCACTTTTATTAGATACGCCAAACCATAGGTTGATATTGAAGAAAAATGGCATACTCTTGCTGAATCTACACTGCATCAATGATTAATCCATGAGTTTGTAACTTTTTTATAATAGGAGGAGACTATTATAAAAAGTTGAAATTATAAGTGATTTGCATTCAAGAAAATGTATTTTCATTTTAAGGCTCTTCTTATAAGAAGAGCCTTAAAATGTCGTACTTCATTTTTTATTTCGAAAACAGCAATCTCTAATAATGACTTTTAATGCACCGATCATTAAATGATCATTAATAAGGTAGATTCTACGGTACCCTTAAGGTACCATACCTTTGTCCATGTGGACCAATTAGAATGATGCAGTTGAATTATTTAAATCTAAATTAAAAATGATTTAATGCTTTGAACCAATCAAATGAGTGATAGGTACGGTATCCCATTTTCTAAATGGGTACCGGAGTTGTCACCCATTAATAAATGTCACATTCAATGTCAAACTATGAAAAATTATACGTTGTTGTGTAAAAGGTTTCAAATTGTGACGTTCTCATAATACTTTGTCATAACGATTATTACAAAATGTGAGATGAGACCTTGAAAGTTTTCTTTGTTCAAAGACATTTTTATAACATGTAATCTTGATTTTACTCTATGTGTTATGATTTGCATTTAACTCTAATTTGTCAACAACAACAAAAAGCATATCATAATTTTGCATAGGCATTAAATAGTTCTTATACCCATAATCAAATTATAGGTATAATAACCATATTTTACTCTGACATAGCCATATCATGTATCATTTTCACTTTGACATGCACTCTTAAGGTGTAAAAACATCCATATTTATTTTCAAACAACATTCACCCACCGTGTTTCGCACGGGTGCTATACTAGTTAGGAGTAAAACACATTAAAGTCCTATTTAGTTACACACGGATACTTGTAGTCCTATTTCCAATCATTTCTCATAAAACTTTGATTTTGTTATTATTAAATTAAGTTTGATTGGCGATTATAGTAAGGGTATAATAGGAAGAGAGAACATATTACTCCTAAGAATAAAATTATGCCCTAAAATTATTACAGTTTTATTATTACATTTAGAAGTAATTTTACTCCTAGTTAGGTCTAATAACCATCTTTATATTATACAAATGGAAAATTATTTTACTGGAAATCAAAAGATCTAAGAGTATAAGTTGAGTTGATACAGTGATATACAAAGACTGTTATTTAACAAATCAAAGGAACCTTTAAAAAATTAAAGGCAAAAATGAAGACATAGCGTGAGACTGTAGGTCAAAGCCAGAGGGCACCCGCTTTTTTAAGCAGTGGCACAAGATCGCCAGAGATATGAGCTTCCAAAACCTTGTCCAAGTCACCAAAAAGCTTGCCGCCGATGAAAACCGCCGGGAACGGCGGCACCTGCGTGGCGGAATCTCCAGTGCTGCTGAGAATCCGGGAAAGCTGGTCGGTGACAGCGGCCTCGTCCTCCTCATCGACGTCGTAAATGGTGGGGTTGACGCCGAGGGATAAGAGCAGCCGCTGCATGACGTAGTACATGCAGCAGCCGCGCCTTCCGAACACGACGATTGCATTCTCCGCCACAAGCAGCGCGTAACCTCGGTCGCCGCTGCTGGAACCGGACGAGCCTTCGCTTGAGGCGGTGCCGGAGTGGTTCTCCGACCGCGGCGATGTGTAGGGTTGTTTCATGGTTGAAATTGGGAGAGGAGTGTAGCTAAGGGAATGGAGAGTTGTTTGTGGGTTGGAATGGCATTTAGTAGAACGTACGCGTAATATAGGTGAAGCAAGCTGCTGGGAGAACGGGGAGGTTGTTTAGTCATAACTGACGCCGTGTATACGTCACAAAATAGGCATCTTGAGGGCCCTTATAGTAACAACTCTGACACCCTTCTAAAAAATGGGGTACCGTACCTACCATTCATTTGATTGGATCACACTACTTTATTATTTTTAATTTAGATTTAAGTCATTCAACTGCTACATTATCATTGGTCCATGTGAACAAAGGTGTGGTACCTTATGGGTACCCTAGAATCTACCCAATGCAAAACCAATTGGTAAAGACAAAACAATCTCAAAACATTTTACTCTCTTTTGCACGGGTAATTTTGCTACCTTTGACAAAACCATTAGCCAGTCGATCACGGTGACGTCAAGAATGATGTAATTTTACTCTCTGATTACTCCGTATAATGAGTTATTCGTATTGCATACCGACTAGCAAGACCCTTTGGTAAACTTGTTTTTCTTTTTATCCAGTTTATTAACTAACTTTTTCATTAATTTTTGATTTAATGTGTTAACTTGTGTAATAATAAAAAAAAGTAAGGTTTAAGTTACTTTTCCGACTGTATTAGCTGAAGTTATTGTAGAACAACATTTTAGCTATTTTTACATATAATTTTTTCTTTATTTTATTAATAAAATATATTTTAAACATAATTTATTCATAAATCAGCAAAATCAGTCAATACAATCATTTTAACCAGAATTTCTTAAATTTCAGCAAAATCAGCTGATTTTGGTATTACCAAACGCGCTCCAAATTTCTAATGCAAATTATACATAACATGTGTATACATCACACAAACAATTGGTAAATAGTTATTGATTTTTAAAATGAATTTAGTGTATATACACATGCAACTAGGGGATAATATGTGTACAATATGTGTACTAATTTTGTGTACAAATTTAATTTTCCTACTACAATACTTCCTATCAGGCCTTGGACTTATTACAAATAGGACCCCTTAAAATTATACGGTGTCATCTTTAAAATCAATTTTACTATAAAATAAAAAAGTATAGTTTTATTATACGAAGCTACGGAGTACAAAAAACAATATGTTGAAATATCAATATGACTTCCCTCTATTCCCGATTAGAAGAAGATGAAAAGAACGGCGAAAATGCTAAATAAGTAGGGAAAGTCAAGACACTCAAAAGTGGTCAAAGTTTACTTACATTGGAATAAATGTGGTGTTCTCACATCAAGCATTATTCTTATTTGATACTAAATATATACAAATTATAATTAATAGCGCGCGCGCACACGCGCGCGCGCACACACACACACACACATAAATATATATATATATATATATATATATATATATATATATATATATATATATATATATATATATATTAATAAAGTATATGGGCCTAGATCATATGGCTCACATATTCAAAAGACAAGCAAGAGGACCACAACGCTCAGATGGCCCTCTATCGGTCAAACTCATCGCACCGCAGAATGTAGTCTAGGAGCAAGAGACAGGTCCGCCATCGGCTAGGCCCCCCATCGGCCTGGCCCCAACCCTCTTTGGGCAACTCAGCTTCAGCAGATTAAATTTTATACTTAGCTCAAAAATATCATGTAATCAGCCCATTAGAGACCTTATTTTGTACCGGGCCTCCTGCCCTCCCATGCCCAAGTCTTGGCAGCCCAACCCATATTTTCTTTATAAATACTCCCATTGAGGACACTTGTAAGGGGTTGAAAAATACTACCTCTGTTCTGTTGGAAGGTTCCCATAGCAAAACGGCACGGTTATTTAGACAATAATTAAATAAAGTACTTTGAGTATATATTTTAAGGAATGATTTAATAGGTATATATTATAATGTAGTTAGTATTGATAACTATGATGTTATAAATTTTTAATATTTAGTGATTAACTTGTCACTTACGATTGTTAATTGTTTCCTAAAATGGAAATGAGAACCTTTGAATGGGACGTCCAGAAAGGGAAAGTACGAACCTTCTACTGGGACGAGGGGAGTATTAATTACTAGCACTTTCTCTCTCTAGCTCATACTTCTCTCTAGATTAATACTCCATCATATATAAAACAAATAAAAAGATAGGCCTATGTAAAAGATGGACCCGAAGCATGTGCCCCACTGTCCCCACCCCCAGAACCGGGCTTGCGGGTCCGTATAAGGTATGAGAATTGAGTATCATGCCTCTTTTTTATGCCGATATGTTTTGTTTTTGTTTACGTACAGTTACTTTTTTGGAACAAAAAAGAGAGAATTCCCGAAATATGATTGAAAGAAAGTTAAATTGCAAAAACATGACATATTGTTTTAAATTCCCTAAATAGAATTAAAGATTACACTTTTACCGCCATTCTCCCAACTGACATCCATCAACCGTGATACCTTCCTCTACAATGGCCATGGCTCCGCCATCTACTGGCACCGCCGCAGCTCCGCCATCGATGACGACACCACTGCTGCAATTTCTCCAGCCAAGACATGTATGTATTCTCCTCCTCCTCCTTCTCCAATTTTATGGCATTACATATATGAAGATGACAGTTTTACTTTGAAATTTATAAACTTTAGAAAAATGTCATAATTGATGTTTAATCCAACACTGATTTATAATAATGTCACTTTTGTGATATTACATTTGGCAAAGTGACTGTTGAAAGAAGAAAATAGCATCTCGAAAGAGTAATAATGGCATTCGCATGCTATTTCGGAATAAAAATGACATATTTAAAGTGACAGTTTTTTGAGTAACAATGTGAGTTTCATGACATATTGTCATCTTGATAAATGTATTGTCATAAAAGTGACATTTTTCTAATTGCTTGTATATATGGTATTTTGAGGTTCTAAATTAATCGAAAATAATAAATAACTAAAATTGAAATATAAAGAAGAAGAAAACAGAGTACCAAGAATTGAAGAGGATGGGAAGGAGAAACCAAAAAAGCAAAGAGGAAAAAAGAGAAGGAGGAGGATGATGAAGCGGTGAGAGAAAAAAGAGTACCTAGATGAGTAGATGACTTTGATTCTTTGCGGATAAGCTGTGATCGAAGGTGGAGAAGCTACGGCCGGCCAATGGGAAAGTCACAGGAGAGAAGTCTGACGGTCTATGGAGAGAAAGGTTGCGATCCAGGTTGGGGAATTTTCTAGGCTGATGGATGAGTTGATGGTGTTCCGTTGCATCTGAAGTCAGCTTCAATCTTCAAGGGTTTACTTAGCAAAAGGGTAAAATTGTAATCTTTAATCCTATTTAGGGAATAAAAAACTTAATGTCCTATTAAGGAATTTAGTCCATGTTTTCGTCCCATTCATTTTTGACAATTTCTTAACAAAAAACTTTAGAGAATCATGATTTGCTTTAGAGCTTCACTTGTCATGTTAGTTACCCAGACTTCCCGATCTTTTAACAATATGACAATTTAATGGTTAGCTATAATACTAGGGGTTTATCCCTAAGTATTACTAAATTAACGTTGATTTCCAAAAAATGTAATCACTTTTAAATTTGGACAAAATGTGAGTAAAATAAAGTGACAGCCAAATATTCATGTCGCTGCCCATTTTCATGCCATTGTCGAACGTCACTGCCGCTGCCCGACCACAGTGACATCACCATAGTGACACCGCCACAGTGACATCGCCCACGGTGACTGCCGCCACTCCATCAGCCAGTGACTTTTGCCCGCACCCCACCAGTCACGGCTGCCGGCCGGTGACCGCTGCCGGACACAGTGACACATTCAAAGTGACACCGACCACATTTACCCATTCCGAAAACCACTGTGTTGATTATGAAGTTTTGTTGATGACTAACCATAAACAGAAAAGAACACTATCCTTAGGTCCAAAACAAAAGACAATGCTTTGTCAATTCACTAAACCATGCAGGTGGACCTTTGGATAGAACTACGATTGGGTCTATCGGGGACGAACTTCATTCTAGTAGGGATTAAATTATGGTCATGCTTGATAAATGAAGTAATTTGATATATGCCTACTGACAATGCCTCATACACGTGACACATTTCTTATGCATGACTAAACATTCACTTTATTGATTCAATCTATATATGTGTCACGTAAACAACCCTTTGTCATTATTATGGTAATAACCATTTCATATATGCAAAGAAATCAACCTATCTATTCCATAAAGATTAGCCGAAGATTTTTTTTGGTAAGGATGTTTTCGTAGCTTGATTTAAAATTGCGCATGAATATCTTATTGCTACTTAATATTCTTTGCATGTTAAAGAAAATCTATATTTCTTTATATGGTGACTCGTAAATCATGGATCAATTTATTCTTGATTGAGCGAATAAGAGAGAAACTGCTGGAAGGAAAGTAATTCAAAAATAATCAAGGAAAATCTACCAAGCTTCCAAGGAAAGGAGAATCAACAGATATCCTCTGAGCTATATATAGTCGAAGACCAAGAGAAGAAGAGGTGTGCTTGACTGAGCAATTACCAAGAGAAATACTTATAAAGAATTATCAAGACCAAGGCACCTGGACCTGCTCACGAAGTTCTAGATATAGTTCATACTCCCTTCTTTATCTTGTAACTAGATTTTGAGGAAAAGCTAAAGTGTAGCCTCCTCAGCTCGGGTTGGGGTCGTGTGTGTGAGAGCTTCGTTGTAAAGTTGAGAGGCTCTCTACCCGCAAGGTAGAGATGCATAACTCTTCCTAGAGAGGATAGAGTTGGGGTGTCTCAAGGGTAGATTAGGAGAATTTACCTTGTAACCACAAAAGGCTTTTTAGTGAAGTTGTTTAAAATTCCTCTGAGGGAGGTCGAGGTTTTTTAATCCCTTTGAGCCAAGGGATTTTTCCTCGTTAAATCCTAGTGCACTTTACTATTTCGCATTTCCCTGAACCCCACACTAGAACTGTGCGAAAAACTGATACGGTTTCACACACACACACACAATTAACCCCCCCCCCCCC